TTGCTGAGTCCCGTCTGCAGGTTTGGTGTCGCGCTGGGTACTCGGGGAAGCAGCACTAGGAAAAGACAGGCATGGCCTCCACTCCCCAGCAGAGCGAAGCTCAGCGGAGGCTTCATATCTCTTCCGATTCATTACATCTTGCTTCCCATGTATCCTCAATGGAGGTAAGACCACTCACAAGGGGAGGGAAATCTATTTGTGGGAAGACGAAATGATCTTAGTTGTTACAATGGCTTTGTGACCTTTGAAAGCTCAATCCCACCTTACAAAATCTTGCTGCTCTCCTGGGGGTAGGAGTGGGGATGACAACAAAAGAGAAGGTGGAGAACCACAGCGCTCCTCTAAAATTCCACGACAAGACCTTCCTGGAGTGCACGCTCCCTGCTCAGGAACACCGCATTAACCGCTTCTGCCTCCTGAATTCCACGCCTATTCCTAACCGGTGCTGCCCAGCCCTCCCACCGCTGCCGCCCTGCAAAGCCCCACACCCCAGGTACAGCAGAAGGCACCGCCCACCTGCTTGCTCTCCCTGAACTGCCACCCCCATCTTCCTCTGTGCTCTGAATGTCTTCTCCCGTCCTCCCGCTCTGCTTTTGGGCTATCCCAAATGCCTTCTCCTTAGCACAGTCCCTTTTTATACATTTCCCTATGGGTAAGGTGCTCCCCTCCACCGAGTATTTCCCTCTGACTTCTTCAGGCCACCTTCTTCTGCCGGCGCTAAGGTTGGAAGCCAAAGCTTTTTGGCTCTTGAAGGGGATGGAAACTTAATCCAGGGATGGCGTTTAGGGGGTGGCGGGGGTCCAGTGAAACGCCCTCCAGGCACTGGGGACTTGCCTGGGAAAGTGGTTCTCCCAAGAGGGCTGGTGCTAAAGCCAGTGGTGCCCAGGCTCTCTGCTACTTCCTGGATGGCACATGATCCTCCCTCTACCTGGGCTCGGCCATCGCCATCCACAGCCCTCAGCAGATGCCAAGTCAATAGGACCACAGCACTGGGGATCTGAACCTCCGGGACTGTGAGACACAGTATCCTTTTCTCTTTAGAATGTTAGTTGCTTCAGGAATTTTCAATACAGTAACAAAAAGCTGACTAAGCCATCTGAGATCATGTTCAAGTTGCTCGGCTGTTTTCAAATACCTCCTACGACCTGAAAAACTCCTTGCTTTTGTTCATATTGGTATTTTAATTGTTATTTTAGTATTTATTTATTTGAGAATGAGAGAGAGGGAGAGAGGGAGCACTTCCATCTACCGGTTCACTCCCCAGAGCCCACAATGACCAAAACTGGGCCAAGTCAAGGCTGGGAGCAAGGAAGTCAATCCAGGTCTCTCACCCCGCAGCAGGGACCCAAATACTTGAGCCATCACCATGGCCTCCCTGGTTGTTCATTAACCAGAGGCTGGAATCAGGCCTGGAGCCAGGGAACTCAAACCCAGGCACTCTGATGGGGAACATGGGCATCTCAAATGGTGTCTTTTTTGTTGTTGCTGTTAAAAGATTTATTTATTTATTTATTTATTTGAGAGGCAGACTTAGAGAGAGAGAGAGGGAGAGACAGACAGAGAGGTCTTCTAACCACTGGTTCACTCCCCAGATGGTGAACCCTCTTCCCTGGCACCCACATAGGTGGAAAATAATGCAAGGCTAGGTATACAAATTATAAAATCTATCATGAACAAGAATTGTGACTTAATAAGATTGCAAGATTCCCTTAAACTGATCTGTAGATTCAAAGTGATTCCCATCAATTCCTATGTAGAAATTTGACAAACTGATCCTACTATTCATATGGAATTACAAGAGATCCAGAACAGAGGAAAAATAGATAATTGAACTTCACCAAAATTAAAAAATAGTCACACTGCAAAGCACACTATAAAGAAAGAATGGGGAAAATACTTGCAAATCATATGTCTGATAAGGGTTATGTGTTCAGGATATATAAATAACCCTCAAAACTCAATGATAAAAGAGTCAGATCACTTATTACAAAAAAGACAAGGGCTTTGAACAGATATTTCTCTAAATATGGCCTTCAAATGGCCAGTAAGTTCATGAAAAGATGCTCAACATCATTACTCATTAGGAAAACTCAACAGACTGCAGTAGATTGAATACTGGCTACAAAACCATATGCCCATATCCTAACCTCCGGAACCCACGAATGTGAAAATGTGGGAAAACATGTCCTTGTAGATATTATTAAGTTCAGATCATCCTGGATTCTCCCAGGTGGGCCCTAAATGCGATGACAAGTGGAGGGCAGGCGTTACAGTGCACAGGTTAAGCCACCTTCTGCGACGCTGGCCTCCCATGCTGGAGTATGGATTCCAGTCCCAGGGGTCATCTTCTAGTCCAGTTTCCTGCTAATGTGTCTCGGAAGGTAGTGGATTCCAGTCCCAGGGGTCATCTTCTAGTCCAGTTTCCTGCTAATGTGTCTCGGAAGGTAGTAGATGATGGCTCAAGTACTTGAGCCCCTGCCACCCATGTGGGAGACCCAGACGGAGCTCCAGGTTCTGGCTTTGGCCTGGCCCAGTCTGGCTGTTGTAGCTATCTGAGGAGTGAATGTGTGGATGGAAGATCTCTCTCTCTCTTCCTTTCAAATAAACAAATCAAAAACGAAAAAAAAAAAAAAAAAAAAAGCAGAAGGGGAGAAGACACAGGGAGGCCAGGGAGACAGACAAGAAGGCCAAACGAAGATGGAGGCAGAGAATGGAATTAGCAACCACGAGCCAAGGAACACCTGGACTCATTAGAGACCAGAAGATTCTCCCCAAGAGCCTCTGGAAGAGGTGCGGCCTTGTTGACACCTTGATTTTGGACTCCAGAACTAAGAGAACAGATTCCCAGTTTCTTAACAGTCTAATGTGGTCATTTATTATGGCAGCCACAAAAAAGTAACACACCATGCAAACCAAAATCCAAGAGAGCTGAAAAGATGTCCGGACAAGAACCTGAACGTGAATATGTATAGCAGCATCTTTGTAACAGCCCCAGGGAGGAAACACCCCCAAAGTCCAGTAACTGATGAATGGGCCAACCAAACGCGGTCTATCCAGACAACAGAGTGTTACTCAGCGTTAGAAAGGGATGGAGAACTGACTCACAGCACCTAGAAAACACTTAAGCTAAGTGGAATGAGCCAGTCTTGAAAGAGCACGTTGTGTGACTTCATTTCTATGCAATGTCCAGAATAGGTGAGCCTCTACAGACGGCAAATAGATGCGTGGTTCCTTCGGGTGAGGTGCGTGAGCGCGGGACGGGGAGTGCCTGAGGATGCATGGGGGTTTTTTTTAGGGGTGATAAAGTGTTCTACCCCTAGGTTGTGGGGATAGCTGTGCAACTCCATGAGCATACGAAAACCGTTCAAGCGTACCTATGCCAGAAACATGTGAATTATACGTGACTTATATCTCAGTCAAGCTGCAGAGAAAGAAGATGGTAAAGAGCGAGCAATGGCATTCTAGTTTACTTTTGGCACACGTCTCGCTGATGAACACTGGGTAACCAGGAACAACCAGATCTACCCAACCCTACAGACCGCAGACCTCCACTGGGGAAACGCAGGCTCCAGAACGAATCGTTAACTTTGGTCTCCGGTGCCACCATCTTAGAAAGGGGTCCCTGGAGACTGCTGCTGAAGTTCACATTCACAGTACTGAGCCTAGTCCTTTTCCTAAGAGGAAACACGCAGTCTCCGGCAGCTTCTTTTCCTGGCCTGTTCTTTCTCTGCCAACTTCAGCATAAGGACTCAGAGAACCAGTGTTCTCCTCTGTCCGCTGGGAACTGCCTGATGGGAACCCCATTTCCTTTCCTGACAACTCCACTGTTTACCAGTTTCCTCCAGGGATTCCCCTCTCTGGACAGTGTAACACCATCATCAGAAGTCTTTCTTAAAATGACCGATTTAGAGACACAGCTCTTAAAGAGTGTGTGCTACATCTCAAAGTAGAGTACTGGAGTACTGGATTGGGCACAGGGCCCAAGAGGGAACACCACATACAAAGGTGGGGGCCTCAGAGGACCCAGCTGAAGACAGCTCCCCTTTGCCCCCCACCCAGTACACGCTCAGAGGTTACTGTGGCTCAGACCTTGCACCTGGTGTGGAGGTCTGAGATGGCCTGCCTGGTGGGACATTGTTGGAGGTCTCTGAGGTTGTAGAACAGTGTTCAGGTCCATTTTCACATAGGTTAGTACAAGCGGGACCCTGCAGTCAAGCAGAGCCCACCCTGGTCAACTTCCAGGTCAGTGAAGGGAACCAGGAAGGGCTGGCCCTGAACTGGGGGAGGGGGACTCCCCATGGGCTTTGCCTACTCTCCAGAACAGCATTCCATGTGTGTCTTCGGGAGCCTAGCCCCTGCTTCCTAGACAAATTCTGAGCTGGGTGCCTTAGCATCTGACCCAAGCAGCCTAAGTGGAAACCCTGCCCAGTAACTCCCAGGAAAGGGAGGAGGAGTGGTTTGGAGGAAGGGAGCCTGAGTGAAACTGTGCCTCCATTGCTGAGTTGGTCTGTGTCCTTGAAGGAATCATATAACATTTTTTTTTTTTTTTGGACAGGCAGAGTGGACAGTGAGAGAGAGAGACAGAGAGAAAGGTCTTCCTTTGCCGTTGGTTCACCCTCCAATGGCCGCCGCGGCTGGCGCGCTACGGCCAGTGCACCGCACTGATCCGATGGCAGGAGCCAGGTACTTCTCCTGGTCTCCCATGGGGTGCAGGGCCCAAGCACCTGGGCCATCCTCCACTGCACTCCCGGGCCACAGCAGAGAGCTGGCCTGGAAGAGGGGCAACCGGGACAGAATCCGGCGCCCCGACTGGGACTAGAACCCGGTGTGCCAGCTCCGCAAGGCGGAGGATTAGCCTAGTGAGCCGTGGTGCCGGCCGGGAATCATATAACATTTTGAAATCTCAGCTTCCTTACCAATATAATGAGAGTTACAACCTCCAAGGAGCTGGTCCTCATAGAAGAATGAAATTAAGTCCTGTAAAACACAAAGGCCAGTACCTGGCCACTCAGACGCAACTCTGCAGAGTGCTGGCAGGAACCCACAGCAGGGCGGAAGTCACTTGTTCGAGGCCACGCATGCGCCTTCGAGGTGTCTCCTGCTAGAACGATCTCTCTGGCCTCATTCACATGGGCGCTGTGGCTCTTAGATGCCTGCATAGTACAAACCCAGAACACTCCTGTCACCTCATTATCATGACTAACGATGGCACTGAGAAAGCACCTACCAGAGTTTGCTGGTGTTGATTTTCCACTTGATAGCCCCCAAAATGCACAATGCCGGGCCTTGCTTCTATGACCTTATTCTTCAGAAGTTTTGCGTAAACCTCTAGAAAAACAAAGCACATCAGTCCCTGTGAGACCTCAAAGGGGGTGTGAAATTCCAGAGGGTCCTATTAAATTAGGGCACTTTAAGCATGAGAGTTTCAGATCACATTCTCCACAAGGTTAAGTCTCTGTTCCACGACGGCGTGACTTCCCCCTCTGTCTTTGCACATCACGTGGCAAGTGCTACCATCTCAATACAAATTCAGAGACAGTGCCGATTATCGAGTGAAATAACTGGCTCTTCATGTGCTTGTCCCTGTCTTTGCCATCAAACACCGGCTCACCGAGAGCACACTTGCCCTGTCTGCTCCAGCACTGAGGTTACTTACTGTGTAATGAACACTCAGTCCGCAGTACCCAACCAACCAAGTGTTTGCTTTTATTACCGTGTATGTAACTTTCACTGTCTGATTTCCTCTGAATGGAAAGATCCCGAAGCTCTACAGCATCATCACTGTGGAAAAGCAAGTCTCAAATTGCCTTTGTTGCAAGGTGAATACCTTTGCTTTGTGTGTGTGTGTGTGTGTGTGTGTGTGTTTTAGGTTTTGAGAACAAGGTTAAAACAGCGGAGTCCCACCAAGCATCCAGGTCTGGAAAGCTGTCCCCAGCTCTTCCGTAGGCAGGAGCAGAGCTGTGTGGAGGAGGCACTGGGAATCCACTATACCACTGTTTCTGTGCCTGACGGGTGCTGCGGACATTTCTTTAAGATCCTCCCCCAACCCGATATCGTTTCCACTTTGCAGATGAAGGAGCTGAGTCTCTACAAGGTTGAGCAGCTCGACCATGGCTGGGGGAGTCCAAAGTCAGGTCCAAGTCTGACTGAGTCCAGCCACTGCCTCCCTCAAAAGGAACACAGAAATTTCCTACACACCATTTGGACTTTGGTTACAGGCAAACGCTGGGAGCCACTCTCACCCCATGCTTTTACCCACTGGGATTCTAAGATGCACCTGAAATGTGCGTGAACTGTTTGGTATGTTACTCTGCCCTCTCCATGAGCTGTCACCGTCATCCACTTCGGGTCAAAATGAAGGAGTGGAGCTGGGTGAGGATGGTGGGTTGGGGAACGGCCCATCTCCATAGGTTATTTTCTGGCCATTTTTTAAGTGCCGGACCACCATGATTCAGGAGCCATTTTAATGCTGAAAGATTCTGGGGCTAGGGTGCACACACTGGATTAAGGCTGGCGTCCTTCCCGCCAATGCTCAGAAGTGGTCAAGGGTGCCCATCTGCACTGGACAAGTGCTCCAGTGACAAGAGCCACCCAGAATATAGTTCTAACCCCTAGCCTGGGGCTCGAAAGCCAAGCTAGGGTTAAGGAGCACGCTGGTTGAGACTGGAACACAGGGCTCCACCAGCTCAGCACCCCTCTCCACTTACTGGGTGTGCCACTGAGGAGAACCACGTGACCTCTGGGTCTCGGCTTCTCCAACAGGGACACGGAAACACAATGTGTCGTGGGATGTTGCTTGTGTGTGTGGATTCAGTTAGCATCATAGAGGCGTTTTCCACAACAGCTGCAGGATTTCCCAGGCTCCCCAGGTTGACAGATATGCAAGGACAAAGGCAAGAAGACGCAAAATGCATGTGTTCTGGGGCAGCGGGGAGTAACTTGTGTGGCAAGAACTGAGACTGAGTGGAGGCCCAGCATGGGATGGCACTGGGTGGCCGGCGTCAGAACAGACCGCAAAGGGGACCAGATGCTGGGCAGGGAATTGCAACCGTATTCTGCACGCCAGGGGAACCGTCACAAGTACTTGGGCAGGGTGGGGACAAAAGTCAGCTAGGATTAGAAAGGAAACTGGTGGGGGGCGAGCACGGCCGGCAGGCCGAGAAGAGAGTGATATAATGGTTCGTGCCCCCCACGGAGGATGAGAAACCAGCCGTGGGGACAGATAGGAAAAGTCCTTGAGGAAGTGGCAGCAATAAAACTTGGTGACTAATTCCCACAAAAATCTATCAGCTAAGTGGACAGATCTAAACAGAAGTGATTGTCCTTAATAATAAAATCTATAATGAGACTATCAAACAATATAAATAAATCAGCACCAAAACTCCCACTGCACTTCCCGTACTTTGGACCCTGGGGGCAGTCTGGGTTATAAAGCAAATCTGGTCTCCCCCACTCACTTGACTCGAGCAGGTGGTTAGGCACTTCTCTTCTCTTGGGCTCCTCCACCAGGCTCCGCAGGAGCAGGGGGGACACCTTATCTGAGGGGTCCCTGGCATCCTTTACTTCTCCGCCAGGGCTTCTCACCGCTGCCATTTTATCATGAAAAATGGAGTCTTTCTTCCAGAGCTCAAGGTCATTTCCTGGAGAGAACAGCAAGCAGTGTAGTCACCCACGGGAAACCATGCACGTTTTTCCCCCTCAATCTTTGATAAATGGGCCTCGTCACCACACGGTTTACTGTGGTTGAGGCCCTCCTGCCTCCCATCTGGATGGTCACTCCGTTCCCACGCGCGGCTGTGTCATTTATCTTCTACATTACATGTCACAGCCTGGCATCACGCCACCGCTCCCAACCCTTCCGAGGTTCTTCTCAAGAGCTTTTCTCGAAACGTAAACTAAGATGCTCCTGGAGCTAGCTGTAGCGGAAGACAAAGGCTCCCACAGTCAGGCAAGGTGGGAAGAGGTTGAAATCAAGGGTCGCAGGGGACTCTTGGCTCTGAAACATCTCCTGATGAGTTTCTCAGCACGATGTGGCCACCGAAGCCTGGAACATTTGGAGAAGACCCTGTTCGCAGGGACACTGGCATTGGTGAAGTTCCCTTCCTGGGCCTCTCTGCACACAGGGGGTCGACCGGAAATGAAGAAACTACCATCAGCCAGGTGCACAGGCCTAGGGACGTTCCCATGGGTCTCAGGGGCCCTTGGATGGGTGGGGGCTGCTCTGAGAAGTCCCTGGAAACTGAAGGCAAAGTCACCAGTGGCTCTTTGTTGTTGCTTGCTAGACTTTTTTTTTTTTTTTTTTTTAATCTAGTGAAGGCCCAATAGTCTACAGCATCAAGCAAAACACAGAATACAGGAAAGACGTGCTGAATCTGGAAAGAAGTTACTATTTCACCTCGCTGGCTTTCCCTTCCCACTAGACTGAGCTCTCCTGAGCACCAACTCCCCGCGCACCTGCCCCACGATTCTCCAGCCCTTCAGCACCAGTCCCAAATTCACCCTCCAGCTCCTACCCCGGTGCCCCGTCCAGCCTTCCAGCAGGCAAGAACACCCGGGCCAGACACCTCTTCCCTTCTGCGACCTTGAACTCCGCCCTCCGCTGGAGGCAGGGGTTGACCCCGGACCCTCGCACTACCCACACCCTCATTTACTCTTCTGGACCCCAGCCCCGGCTGACCTGCGGCTGGGCCCGCGCCAGGGACTCAGGCTGCCTCAGCAACGCGGTGGCCGCCCCTAGGCCGCGCCTGGGCCACCCCCGGCCCCAGGTTGCACGCCGCTCGCACAGGGCACAGGACGTAGGTGGTTCCGGCGCCCGCACCGGCGGGGAGCGTCGCCATGGCGACGCGGACGCGCTCCCACGGTGGGAAGCCGGACGCGACCAAACAGCGCCGAGACGTGGGGGGAGAGCCTGGCGGCCGGGCCACCCAAAACAAAGCTGTGGGTGGCTTCTGGGCGCTTGGAGCTGTATGTGGGACAGGGGTAGAACTAGCGAGCGCGACATATGATGTGGGAGGCCAAGGAAGTCCCCAGGATAAACGAGGCGGTGGGAAACGCCGCGACCTCGGAACCCGCGGAGTCGCTCGCGGGCGGTGGAGGCCAGAAAGGGGCGGGCCTCCCCGCCGGGCGCGCGTTCTCGGACGCACTTTTTGGGGTTTCAAGTTTCCTATACGCCTAGACGACGATGGGCGGGATAACATAATAAGGGGGCGCTTCCAGCTGCTAGCTGGTCACGTCGTGGGCGCTCTAGTTTCACCTGTTACCGCGCCGCCGGCCTGTTCTTAGAAGTCCGTAGTAAATATTTCAGAATGTACATCGGGCTCCTAAAAATGACCCCTTGCCAGCACCTTTAAAATTCACAGTAATCTCCCAACACTTTCACGTTCCCAGCAATGATTTGTCTCACAAACGTCGTAAAATGTGTTTAGAGTTTGCCATTTTGAATCAGAATTCAAATAAAACTGACACATTAGGACGTACGGATGCATCTTTGAAATGTGTTTGAATCAACAGGTTCACCATCCATCTTTTTTTTTTTTCCCCCGATTTGTTTGTTGAAGAAACTGTCTGTCCTTTACCCTGATGTGTAGGGGTCATAAGTATGGCACCGGGCCCTCTGCCCTGGCCTGCCCTGTCCACTCCACCCTGCCAACAGAGATGGTCCAGGCGCCGCCACCGCCCTCCACCAAGCTGGCCTTGTCTTGCTTGCTCCTTGTGTGACTTCATGGCTTCACGTTAGTGACAGAGTACGAGGGTACTGGCCTTTCTACTCACCCCTGAAAATGTCCGTTCTTTCCATCTTCCTGTCCTCCAATTCCCTCCCTCTCCCCTGCCACCGCCTATTAAAAGCCTCTCCACCTTTCAAGGGGGTCACCACAGGGCAGGGGTGCGACTTCTATCCCTCTCACAACCCTCCAGACCAGAACAACGCCTCCCTCGCTCAGGACTTCCGGGCCACCTTGCTCTGCTGTCTTTATCCCTGTGTAGTTACCTTGTGCTGCACTCGTGGGTACTGGTGTGTCTCAGACTGCAGAACTCTTAGGAGCAGGGGATCACCATTTCCCTTTGGATCTCCCACAGCCTTTGACACAGTTCCTTGTTCACGTGATGACTCAGGGAGTGTTGACTAAAGGGGTGAAAAAATGCATGTGTCTGTATAAAAAGTCGCTTTAGTTCTTTCTGTTTTGTTGCCCCAACAAGGCTGTAGATTTCGGGAGAGCATGTGCTGTGTCTAACCCTAGTCCCTGACCTTTCAACCCCAGCTCAAAACATAAGATGCCTGCTTCCTTAGATTTATTTTAGTGGATGTTGGGTAACAATTTTTAAATTAACAATTATTTTCTTAGAAAAATTGCCAAATTCCCTACTATAGTTAATACATAGGTCTCTATACAAGTAATTAATCAAATTGTACATCCCCGAGAGAAGGTTCCAAGATCCCCAGTGAACACCTGAAACTATGGATAAGTTCCAAACCTTACATACACTATGTTTTTTTTCCTATTCACATATGCCTATAATAAAGTTTAATTTATAACTCAGGCACAGTAAGAGATTAACAACCACGATTAGTAGAACATAGAACAAATTTATATATTGTCACAGACGTTCTTTAAGACTTAGGAGCTGTTTATTCCTGAAATTTTCCAGTACTGTTTTCAGATGATGGGTTGACCATTGAACAACCAAAACTTGGGAAAGCAAGTGTGTGGGATTGGTGGGTGCTGCTGGCTGCCTGCTTCCACTTCCTTCCAAGCAGAACCCCAGCAGGGCTCAGGATTCTCCCCAGATCCCCAGTTCCAGCAGTGGGTTCTGATTAATTCTCACTTGATTGACTTGGTGCTGGGTAGGGAGCCTGAGTCTGGCCTCAGAGGTGTTATTAGGAAGGGTTCCAGGGCCCTTCGGAAAATGCTCCGTCTTTGCTAAGCAAGGAAGTACCTTTCTCTTTCTGGACTTTGGAGTGTGTGGAAGTGATTCCCGGAATGGCCACAGCCCTCGGAGGCCCAGAGAAGGTGGCGATGGAGACAGGTGGGAGACAGGAAGAGGCCCCTGCATGATATCATTAGCTATTTCTGCCAGCTGCAGGCCTCCGACATATACTGATTTCTAGACACTAACTACTCAAGGTGAACCATGGCGTAGGAACTTGTTAGGAATGCAGGATTTCAGGCTATCCCAGGCCTACTGAATCAGCATCTGCATTTTAATAAGAGTTGCCAGGAGATTCACAGGCACATTAAAGGTTGAGAATCATGGAACTCCAGAACGCCCTCTGTTAGGCCATCAGCTATTTCCTATACTGAAGTGCATATTCCACATTGACTTCGCTTAGCATTTATAATAGCAAAATCATCCCAGTTTCCGCCAAATTTATGTAGTGGGAAGACTGTGGTGACAGGCATGGAAGCTATGAGCTATAGGCTTTGGTGAGGTGGGGGAGATGTAATTTCCTGGATTAAAACTTTCAGAGGTGGTGGGCCATTGCTGTGATGCAGCAAATGAAGATGCTGCCCGTGTGGCACTGGCATCCTGTATTGGAGTCCTAGCTGCTCCAGCTCTCTGTTAATGCACCTGGGAAGGAAGCAGAAGATGATCCAAGTACTTGGGCCCCTGCCATCCACACAGGAGACCTGGATGGAGTTCCTGGTTCCTGGCTTCAGCCTGGCCCAGCTCTGGCTGTTGTGGCCATTTAGGGAGTGAACCGGCAGATGGAGGATCTCTCTCTCTCTTTCAAATAAATAAATGTTAAAAAAAAAAAAAACTTTTGGTGGTGGGATGGGCATTTGGTGCAACATATAAAATGTTCCATACAATGCCTGCATCCCAATCAGAGTGCCTGGTTGGAGTCCTGGCTCCACTTCTGATCCAACTTCCTGCCAATGTGCTCCCTGGGAAGCAGCAGGTAATGGCTCAAGTTGTTGGGTTTCCGCTACTCACATGGGAGACCCAGATTGAGCTCCAGCCCCCTGGCTTCAACCCTGGCCCAGTCCTGGCTTTTGCAGGCAGTGGGGGCAGTGGGGGAATGAACCAGCAGATGGAAGATCTCTCTCTCTCTCTCTTTCTCTCTCTCTCTCTGCTTTTCAAAAATAAATAAAGGAAGAAAGAAAGAGAATTTTTAAAAGCATTTCAGAGGCTTCAAACTATGCAGAAGATGAATTCAAGATCCTTCATACTTTCAGGGCTCTGTAGGACCAGGCTGCCAGCTCCTCACTACTTCTCCTTCTACCCCATTGTTGGGGGCCTGTGACTGCTTTCACTGCTCAACTGCACCTCCCACTCCAAATTTCTGACCCCCCAAAAACTTGTGAGGTGTAACAAACAGGCTGTTGTTTCAGGTCTCTAAATTTGGGAGCACAATGACAAGAAACTAATCCCTATTTTTCCCAGCTTCCTTTCTAAGTCAGATCCTGCTCCCTTATCCTCTCCCTTCAGAGCAATAACAGAAGCATACTTTCCATGTTTCCAGAGCCTGGGAAGTCCAAGATCAAGTGTCTGGAAGGACACACTTCCTGCTTAACACACAGTGTCTTCTTGGGCTGTGCTCACATAGCAGGCAGAGGGGTAGAGAACCCCCTGGGGTCTCTTTCGTGAGGCACTGTTAGAAAACACCCCCAGAACTGGTTGGAGGGGTTGCTGTAGAATGCCCAAAACTGTTTCTGCTTGACCGACATGCAGCAAGCCCCTTCCTGCCATTGCAGTGGTGGAAGAAAGCATCTATTGATTGCCAAGTATAAGGGAAGGAGCCTGGAAGCTCTTGCTTAATTCCCTGGCTCTTTGAGGGGTTAGGGGCAAAGATTCCCATAGATTGGAGCGGGGGCCGAGAGGTTCATGTCCAGCTCATGTCCAGGCTCCTGATTGGTCTGCAATGCTCATGGCCCTCCTTGGATCAGTTGGCAATGTCATGTTCCTTAGGGACTGTTGATGAGTGGACTCTAACCAGTCTAGGTCTAGGCACAGGTGGTGGCTACTTTTTGTTTGGAGATTGGAGTTCCTGACAGAGAAGCTCCAAGAGATAAGCCCAAACAGCAATATCTACAGGGGAGAAGAATGGCCCCTTGAATCTTGTGTTCAGGGACCCTGGAGGGCCAGCTACACCACCCCTTCGATGTGGTGAGTTAATTGTAGTAACAGCAGCAGGAGGGGCCGGTGCTGTGGTGTAGCAGGGAAAGCCTCCACCTGCAGTGCTGGCATCCCATATGGACACCGGTTCGAGTCCCGGCTGCTCTACTTCCAATCCAGCTCTCTGCTGTGGCCTAAGAAAGCAGTAGAAGATGGCCCAAGTTCTTGGGCCCTTGCACCCATGTGGGAGACCCGGAAGAAGCTCCTGGCTCCTGGCTTCAGATTGGCGCAGCTCCAGCCATTGCAGCCAATTGAGGAGTGAACCAGCAGATGGAAGACCTCTCTCTATCTGCCTCTCCTCTCTTCGTGTAAATCTGACTTTCAAATAAATAAATAAATCTTTAAAGGAAAAAACAAACAGCAGCAGAAGGAAACTGTGAGCTAAGGGAGGGAGGCTGGGGGCCTGGCACCTGATGGTTTCCGGCATCTGCCTCCAAGGCACTGCCTAGGTGTTTGGTTCCTGCACTAATCATATCTATGAAGGTCCCAACCTCATGACGCATTCTCATCCCAAGGGCTCTGTTGCCTACTACCATCACCGCCGGGGTTAGGATTCTACCATATGACTAGGGGTGAATGCACATTCAGACCACAGCTGCTGGGTTTACCCCTTTGCCAACCACCTTCCTGGACTACTAGTCCAGGGAAGGCAGGCTGGGTCACCACTGCACAAGCCTTGAGTGTTGCCTAGAACATGCGTGGATTTCCGACGTATTTGTAGAACTGAGT